TTCTGGTAGTGATCCCTCCCTGCAACAAGACTTGGTTGACATTACTTTTCGTTATTTGCACATTGCAATGCTAAATATATATATGCCATTGTCATAAATTTACTGCCTTCTAAATTCAATCGTACTTCTAAATATGTATATGCCATTGTCATAAATTTATTGTCATAAATTTGCACATTATATTGTTGTTAGGTGCACTTGCTGCAAGAAAAGATCCAGATAGGATAAGAGGAAGAAGCGCAGGTAGAGAACTAGATAGGCTAAGTAGAGGATTATGCATGAAGTTGCCAATCCATGTTTATGAAGGGAACAGACGGCCAGAGGCACCTATCCAAGCTGCCAAGCTTGCATCAGAGGGTGGGATCACACTTAGGCAGCACATACCAATCCTTACACACTGGAAGGAGTATAAGAAAAATGAGTCACATCTTGAAAACTACATTGGAAAAATTGGTGTAAGTTAAATTCAATTTTGCTGATTTCATGAAAGTTCAATCTATCCTTTGCATTCGCAGATTCTAATTTTCATGCTCTTTACTAGGCCCAATTCACCATTGACACCAAGAGTGAAGCAGTCCAATATGCATGTGCTGATTTGCTTAAGTGTGGACAACATCAGATGAGGCACAAGCTGAAAAAAAGTACTTTGATGGGGTACTTGCAAGTCAAGTGAGGACTACATCGCCTGTGAATCATATGACTGACAATGAATGGCAGGCCTTAGTGCAAATGTGGTCAGACCCGAAGCACAAGGTGCGACAAACCTCCAAATTTCCTGAACCTGATCTTAGATACAGTAAAATAGAAATTAAGATGGCAAGCTAACACTTGTAAATTTCCTGAACCTGATCTTAGATACTGTTTTTTGTAAATCTTCTTGTCCTGAACCCGAAGCTATGTGGTCTTAGGTTCTAGCGATTTTCTCCTGGAACCTCTAAGAAGCAGGACACATCTATTAGTTGACATGCTTTGAGCTTATGTTTATTATTTTACTGTAACTTCACTTCTGTATTTGTCCTATGTGTAGAAACACTTAAACAAATGTTTCATGTACAGGAAAGGTGCTTGAAAAACCAACAAAATCGAGAGAAGGTACAATTACTGCATTGTACAGGATCTCGGTGTTACATTGCAGAAGGCCATGTCATGGTAAGAAACTAAACAATCAATGATCAGTAATGCATATATATTGATTTTTGTATCAGCCTAATTATTTGTATTTCTTTGCAAATAATTTAGAGACAAGAGAAATATAAAGATGTACAACCTACTGCTATTGATCTTTTCAAGGACTTCCACTACAGCAAGAACAAAGGATTCAATGAGCCTATCAAGAAAGCTATTGTGAGTGACTGATTCCCTTTTCTTTTCTATTCCCATAGTTTTGCGTACATGTTGCAGATTGTTTCCTTCTTTGCTACATGACGTACATCTGAAAAAATGAACTGCACACAAAATTTAAGTCTCTATTGTAATTTTTTTGCTAGGCTGATATGGAAGCGATCATGGCTGAACCAGTACAAGATGAAGAGCAACCAAAGTCAGTGAACCATGCTGTTTCTCAAGTTATGAAATCAACTACATTTCTTCAAGTTGCAGGAATTCAACCAAACTCCAACAATAGCTCTAAAGGTTGCACTTCCTCAAAGGTACAAGTGCATCAAGTCCCTACCATGCATGCTCTGAAGTTATTTTCTTTACAGAAAATATCTACCTTATTTAACACTTAAAAAATGTGAGGTACCAAAATAATAAAATTGAATATATAGCCCCTTATTTTGGTATCAACAGAATGAACATTTTAAAGGGGATCAATGAGTCGATGAACTGCACTAGAAAAAATATCATCATTCAGCACTGTTTACTGAGTCCTTGCTTGAAATATTATTATGAAGTATCCCTGGTGGCGACACCTCATTCATCAGCACACAAATTCAATTGTTCTAGAATACAGTAATACACCATTAGTGAATATTAGAAGCCAGTTAATTTGTTAAAAACAGAGTTTCATTCTACTTCTTTGATTGATCCTGGAATATAGGTTGCCACCTAATGCATTGGTTGATGAATCAGTGCAAGATAGGAATGGATTAACAGACAGGTTAGCAACTTACTTAAAAGTTACACGCAGCCTTTAAGGACTACAGTGTAGGAGAATGATTAATGTACATCAAGTAATAACTAATCAGAACTAACAAATAGCGGCTAAATTGGGCCAATGGCCAAAGAATAACATCATACTGATGCTAGCATTCTCTTCGACTTAGCTGTTCAGTTTAAATCAACTTGTACCTAGCTGTCCTGCACATGAAAACAATAAACTCAATTTGAACCTACTTGTACTTAGCTGTTCAGTTTGCACATAATAATGTTCAGTAAACAAATATTTTGCCTTGCTGCCTTGAGTGGTTATTGCTTCTAAGAGAATAATAGATGATTTATTTCTTAGTAAAGCCACCGACATATTTATGGTGTTTATGCACAGGTGCAACAGCTTCGGGCTGATCTTGAAATTGAAATTTTTTTAAAAGAAGACCTTAGGCATGAGTTCGAAGCCATGGAGAAAGAATCAGAAATGGCAAGGGCAAAACAGGCTGAGGAGATCGAAAAAATAAAAAAAGGCATCACAAGAAACCATGTCCTTCCTTCGTCAAATGCTTGGTCCTAGGGATGATTGAACTTGGTTTGGTTGCTAGTTGTTTGCCCCTAGTATTAGTAGCTCTAACTTTTGAACCATGCTGCTGGTTTCATTGTTTTGCGACCTCTGAGAAGTATTGTGCGGCCTTTAAACTTTGGAACTTGTGGCTGCTATAATTTTGGTCAGTGCATCATATGGTCTGTGAGATGTATTGTGGCCTGTGAACAAAACTAGTATTGTGATTTGTTGTTGTTGTCAGTGGATATGATCATTGAAACATGTATTGTATGACCTGCTACTGTAACTTTGGTTGGTGACTTTGAACTTTAATTAATTAACTGATCAATGATATGATCAATTTGTGACCTACATTGTATTATGTATTTGCTTATATTGATCTGTGTATTATGTATTTGCTTATATTGATCTTGCCATGTGGCATCATGGCACTAAATAGTTAGCGACAATTCTTCCTAAAACAGTGACAATAGCCATTGTCGCAAATTTAGTGACGAAGCAGTATTGTCGAAAGTTTAGCGACAAAAAAAAACTTGTGTTCGTCACCAAAGGTGTTTAAACACGTTAGATAGGCGACAAATGGGAATTCGTCGCGCTCACGTCACCAAATCCGTAACTTGACATAAATTTAGTGTTCAACGACAATAGCTGATTGTCGCAGAAGGTCATGTGTGTTGTAGTGTATGCTAAGGAGTGTGTAACAACTGACCTACTGAATCAACTAACCCCGAAAATGGATGGCGCTAAAGCGCACAATCCACACCCGGCCATCTAGGTGAGCGCCATGACCCGATGAGTAGGAGGGTGCGGCGACCGCCGTAAAACCCGTGGCACGAGCCTGGGCGAAGCAGTCGTTGGTAGTGATGTTGGTGGTAGTAGCAAATATTAAATTGAGATCTTTGAAAGCCAAAGAGCAGAAATGTTCCATATGAATGACACTTGCGCATGGGTAAGTGGATTCTAAGGAACGAGTAACTCCGGCAGATAGCGGGGGTTGAATTTCTTCACTTTGACATTCAGAGCACTGGGCAGAAATCACATTGCGTTAGCATACGTGGGACCATCGCAATGCTTTGTTTTAATTAAACAATCAGATGTCCCTTGTTCATACCAGTTCTGAGTCGAACCGGTGTTCCACGCCCGGGGAAGGACCCTGAAGAAACCGTTCCTGGTCCGTCCCCTGCCGGTAAGCGGCAGCCCGCACTCGCCGTGGGAGCAGCTCGAGCAGCCTACCAGCAGCCAATGGTTCTGGCCCAGGACCCCCGAGCCCAGCCCTCAGAGCCAATTTTTTTTCTTGAAGTTACGGATCCGTTTTGCCGACTTTCCTTGCTTAGATTGTTCCATTTGCTAGAGGCTGTTCACCTTGGAGACCTGATGCAGTTACGAGTACGGTTGAACATGGACGGTACTCGGTCCTCCGAATTTCCAAAGGCCACCGGGGGTGCATCGGACACCGCGCGACTTGCGGTGCTCTTCCTACCGCTGATGGTTTTGCCATAAAACCCCCAAAAATCAGTATTGACCTAGACGTTTGTACTAATGCTCAGAACAGAAGGTGAAAGTCATCAATATTTTGAGAAGAAACTGCTCTTATATATATATATATATATATATATAGAGAGAGAGAGCATATATTCCGTAATTAAAACCTAGGCTTAGTTTAGTTTGCGAATTTTAGGAATTTGGCTACTGTAGCACTTTCGTTTTTATTTGGCAATTAGTGTTCAATCATGGACTAATTAGGCTCAAAACGTTCGTCTCGCAATTTCCAGCCAAACTGTGCAATTAGTTTTTTTTGTCTACATTTAATGCTCCATGCACGTATCGCAAGATTCGATGTAATGGCTACTGTAGCATTTTTAGAAAACTTTTTAGACTAAACAAGCACCTACTTACGGATTAACGTCTGAAGCAGGTATGTATATGTGCGTCAGTGCGTGTGACGTAAGCTCCCGTTGGATGAATCTTGGCACGTGTTGTGTACAGAGCATCTCTTCTTGAGGTAAACACGGTATTTTGCTGAACGAGTCAGACAAGAATTTTAGTGAGAAGACTAGTCTTCTCCCAACTATTCCTCCATTAAATTCTGAAGTGACGTCCAAGAAGGGAAACGTATCTATACTCTCTTCTTCTTCAAACCACCGGAATAATTGTGGACGGAAGACGATATTATGATCTCCAGAATTCAAAGTTTCCACAACTTTTCTTCTGCTTGAGTTTACACTACTTGGACACATGCGCCCTTATAAATAAGACATATTCAGGTAGAGGTAGAGGAACCAGCTAGCTGGTGCATCTATCTGATCGATCTTGGGAGGAGCACAGGGAATTGAAGCTGGTAGCCATGGCGCCGGTGAAGGTATTCGGGCCACTGTTGTCCCCGAACGTGACGCGTGTAATCCTGTGCTTGGAGGAGGTCGGCGTGGAGTACGAGATTGTCAACGTGGACTTCAACACCGGCGAGCACAAGAGCCCCCAACACCTCCAACGTAACGTACGTGTACAGGCACCTCTATATATAACCGTTCTTGCTTTTTTTTTTGGGTTCGATGTTTTTGTTGCTAGGTTTCATATGATCTGTGAGCGTTGCTCACTATTTAATCGATTAGTAATTCACTCCCTCCATTCCAAAATTATAAGCATATTTTGATCAATTCAAAGTGAATTAGAATATATTTGGACTCCTAATTTCTTATCTTACGGTGTGTTCTCATTTGCTAAAGCATCAGTATCATTTCAGAGACACTTCAAATATAAATCTATTGACGTAAATTTTATATCCAAAACTTATCTAAATAATTGTTAGCCAATGTTTGTAAAACTTAACTTTTGTCTATAGAAAGTATAATTATCATTTGCGGACTGAGAAAGTAATTATTATAGTTTCTACAACTAGTCTTCTTCTTTCAGCCCTTTGGACAGCTTCCAGCCTTCCAGGATGGCGAACTGATGCTCTTTGGTGAGTCCTGGTACTCCATGTATTCCTTTTTTATTCTTATTACAGTGTTTGTATCGGTCAAACTTTTTAAGTTTGACTAGCAATATTTGTATCTTTAAATATATTTGTTATGAAAATAGATTCAACGATCTATCTAACGATGTTAATTATGTCTTATAAGTACTAATATTTTTAATATATTTGATCAAAGTTAAGTGCGTTTGACTTCTTGAAAGTGAGAACGACAGTTAAAAAGAGAGTAAGGGATGGTTTGATGGATCTGAATTTGGGACATGATGATTCAATTAGCATAATTAATTCAGGGGAGGCAAGAATCTTGAGATGTGGCAAATCAACTTTGGTTGAATCCTAACGTGTCAGAGACACAGATGAGGCTATCAAAAGTTGTCTTCTTTCTTGGACATGCTAAAATTTTCTCTCTTAAGTAAGGATAAGATTCTTACACCAGTACAAGGACAACAAACGGTTGTTCCTTAAATACTAGTACAAATTCAGGGTCATATGTACTTACCAAATTCTACCAAAAAATATATAGTACAGCATCTGCAGGGAGAGTAAATATTTCGCTGCTGCTATATATATAACTACTAGTACTCTTTTCGTCCCAAAATAAGTGTCGCTATGATATTTATGCCGGTCAAACTTTCATAAGTTTGATTAGATTTGTAAAAAATGTTAGCAACATTTGTATCTCTCCAAATAAGTTTATTATGAAAATAGATTCAACGATCTATCTAATTATACTAATTATGTATTATGATGTTAAATATTTTCTTGTATATATTTAGTCAGTTAAAAACACTTGCTTCTCGAAAAAAATAAAAAAACACTTATTTTAAGACTGAGTGAGTATTTATAAGCATATATATATATATATATATATATATATATATATATATATATTTTTTTTTGCTTCTGTCGTCCACCAGAATCCCGGGCGATTTCGAGGCATGTGCTTCGCAAGTACAAGACTTCGGAGGTGAACCTGCTGAGGGAGGGCAACACATCAGAGGCAGCGCTCGTCGACGTCTGGCTAGACGTTGAAGCACACCAGTACGACCCTGCCATCGCCCCCATCATCTACCAGCTGATTGTCGTGCCGATGAGCGGAGGAACTCCCGACCAGAAGCTCATCGACGAGTCCCTGGAGAAGATGAAGAAGGTGCTGGACGTGTACGAGGCGCAGCTGTCAAAGCACAAGTACCTGGCAGGGGACTTCGTCAGCCTGGCGGACCTCAGCCATCTCCCGTACACGGTCCACTTTATGGCCACGCCATTTGCATCGGTGTTGGATTCCTACCCGAGCGTCAAGGCATGGGTTCACGACTTGTTGTCCAGGCCAGCAGTCCAGAGGGTCATCTCCCAGTTCCCCAAATACTAATAATACATATCATATATATTGTATGGTATCGTATATTTGCATACGATGTAGAATTTGCATGCAGTTTGTAAGGACTTGATCGAATGCCCTGTATTTCTACTATATATAATGCGTGTTATGTATTTGTGTACTTTGTAATTGCCAATCAGATATACGAAAATATGTATGGAATATCCAAATTATTTGTAGATACTACTAGTATTAGCCAAACGATCGAATCTATTAAACCTATCCTATTTATTTATTACGTACATACAGTATTTGGGTATCAGCGCGCTGAATGTTCACCTCCCATAACGTCGTCAGCTGTGCGATGGTGAGAGACACGGACCCAAATGCTCCAACGATGCAATGCAATCCCTGTGCTGGATCGTTTGAATCGTACGTCAAAATGATCACAGACGCACGAACTGATCGTTGGTTAGGTTTCTTGTGGTGGAATTTGTTCACTTGGGTTTAAGTTCTTGACTTGGTATGGGTGCTTGTATTTTTCTGGATTTATTTTAGGATTTAATGACGCTATGCTTTCAGTGGTAAGCAACGTCCCCGTTGACAGCGAGGCGCCAGTGATGACTTCGTGAATCTCAAGATCTGCCAGCTCAGTCATTCAGAGATGCTCATAGAGGTAAAATTTACGTACGTGTGTTCATAGAGGTGAGTATGCATACGTGTTGTGGACGTCTGCGTTGTCCTGTATAATTCTAAATAAAAAATGATCACAGATGCACCTTTCGGCAACCAGTCAAACGAGTAGACTCCAAGTCTGCTACTCACTACAATTCATCAGTTGCGGTGCCCATACCTACCCCGTGCATATATGCCGTCGTCTTTGACCAATTCCAAGTTGCTTGAAAACACACATAAAGCTAAGTACAATCATAGCTGGAGGAGGTCACCAGCGTCACTTCTCGACGATGGACTTAGTTCCACCACTATTCGAGCACAGCCAGTCTCAGGTCACGCCACCACAGGCCGCGTAGAGAACCTCAGGAGGTGACGCGCCTTTGCAGGTCGAGGTGGGCGGTCTGTCTGCCTTTGGTCTGGCCAAGCCCGCGGCGGCTGTAGACATGTTCAGTACGCCGCCTCGGGAGGACCGCACGGTCGATGTTAGTGACAGCTCCGCTGCACACCGCCTCAAGAGCTTCACCAGGCGCATGCTGAAGAAGGTCGACTCTTCGCTTATTCGTGAGCCTCCCAAATAGTCTCCTGCTAAACCGGTGCTACCGCTTCGGAGCAGACGGTTGGTGGCTCAACCTCCTGCTAAACCAGCGCTATCGGCTTCCAATGCCGTCCACTAGAACCAAACAAATAATAAAGCAAGTGCGAATTCTGTAACACTCCTGGTGTTATGATCTTGTTTAGCATCGAAATTTAGGCCTAGAAAAATTTCCAAAAACAAGTTTCTCGGATTTTTATTTAAAAACATATTTAAAGCGATAAGTGAATCCTGTGTGACTCACTTTTGTGGACTCATATAGACGTCCAAGTTAAATTATTCAGTACATGAAAATATTTAGGAATGTCTGATAACAATTCTAGCAAATAAATAGGGAATGGCTTGTTTATTTGATTAAGCAGGAGCAACAATTTTTATAAACAAAAATTTGTTGAAAGTAAAAAAAATTGCTAAATAATAAAACCTTAGAGCTTTAGTTATGTTTGTAAGTGCATAAAGTTGTTTTAGAAAATGAATTTTTGGAAATTAAAATAATATAAAATATAAACAGGAAAAAAATTATATCATCAGTAAGATATGAACATCGTGAATATGTTGGTATGCTTGTTCGAGTGCCAATGTGATGTTGTTAGTTTTAAAATAATAACGAAAGTGCCGCTGGCCACTCAGCTCACCTACCTCACCGGTACGGCGCGCGCGTTATGAGATAGGACCGAGCTTGCTGGCCTTGCCGGCTGCTTGCTTCCCCTCCCTCTGCTGGTCTTGCCACGTTTGCCTGGCAGTCGTCTCATGCATTCACATGCCTCATCTCAGCCCGGTTAGCACCTGTCCTGCTTTCTCCTTGCGGCCAGGTGGAGAAGAGCGTTTGTTAATGCAGCGGAGCCCGCATCCTGAACAAGTCCATCGCGCATGGGCGTCAGAAAGTGAGCACATGGCTCTGCTCCTGCCCTCGCTGTGTCCACTCCCGTTCCTGTGCACGCATAGGCGCGCCTCTGCCGGCCACGTTGCGCCATCCCGTCCTGCCCCCGCGTCCGTGCTCTGGCGCGCGTACGGCGTTTCCCTCCCTCGCGCTGCTTCCCCTCTCTTCTTTTTTTTGCTCCCGAGGAGGATGCGCCCAGCTCCTGCTCGCCCTCCCCGCTGAGCCCTCCCGAGCGTTGTCTCACCGTCGTCCGCTCTAGCGCCTGCTCCTTCGCCCTCCACTCCGTTGTCGTGCCGCGTCACCACTGTGGCCACGCGCCGCCCCGCTGCGCCCGCACCACCGTAGCGGCCACATTCCCGCCGAATCGAGGCCGCCCCATCCAAGAGCTAGGCGACAAGCTCACGGTGCTTATCCTCGCTGCACATCTGCTGGCTCGGTGTGTGAGCCAACGTGGTGCCTCGACCGAGCCGCCTAAGCCGTCGCCACTCTCAACGGCATGACCCCCCAGTAGAGCACCTTTCGCGTTCCAGCAGAGCTACCTTCGACTTCCAATTGCGCGTGGCTCGGATGATTACAATCCAATTCCCGGCAACAGTGAGTCGCTATGGAAGTTCTCTAGCCAGCCCACCCACATAAAGCCACAGCCGTGCCTCATCGATGGCCAATTTCTGAGTTTCCTCGTCGCCGATCGTTCTGGGCCAAAGCTCGAGTCGGTTGGGGCCAGTCCCACTCGGTAGGTAATAAGTCAAATTGATGTTGTGCCAGTGCTCGGTTTGACCCCATGAAGCCGGTGCTCACGCCGGTTTGTCCAGGGCACTCGTCGACAGCGTGGTGACGTGACGTGTTTGCCTCGAGGCACCACTGCCGGGCTCGGGCACACGTGGTCAGGCCGTCTCGATCATCCCCTGCGTCAACCCTTCCCATAACGCGCACCAAGGTGAGCCTCTGGTCCTTCTCCGTCATCGCTACCTGATCGTTAGGGTGTAGCCTCATCAGAACGAGTATGCCGGCGCGCAGATCCTCCGTCGACGTGGATGGGTGGAACTAAAGCATCGCTGCATGTGCCGCCACCATCTGCGGGTGCGCGTAGGGCCCTAAGTCCCGGTCAGTCTTTCCTAGGTGGCATTGTGGGCCGCTGTTGGCCGGTGTGACCGGGTGTTGCCGTCCTGTGCCACGCCGTCACGCACGGTCATGGCGGGGGGTTGCTGTTGTGAAGGTAGTAGGTTGCAGGCATCCCCGTGGAAAGCTTAGGTCTGTAGAAATAGTGCTTCGCTGTGCTGTGGGATTTCTTGAGAACACAGGGACTCTTTTGCATAAACGTAGGCGCACGCGCAGGCTTCCGTTGTGCGCCGATGCTGGGCTAGCCGCTGCGTGCGCAGGTGCTTCCGCGTGGGCCGTGGGGCTGCTGGGCTAGTTTAGTTGCCGCCAGTCCTTTTTCATTTTTGAGGTATTTTCTAATTTAATGCTGAAGCAAACTTGTAAAATCAATATAAATTTATGTAGTTATCCAAAAATTATGAAACTAATTTTGTTAAGTTTCTAAAATCATATTCTACCTGATAGGGTATTTCGTTCGCATAGGTTATGTATATTTTTAGGATTGCTCTACCTATTTTAACATACTTAAAATTGTTAAAAAATGAACTTGTGGGAATTTTTGTGAGAAAATGGTGATAGTATTGACTCTAAAAATTTTATAGTAAATTACTAATATTATTAGCTGCTCACTGTAATTTTTGTAGCTCCAGAATAATTAGTTTGCTAGATAGATAATGATGTCCTATTTCGAATAATGATTAAATCGACAAAATGAAATAAAGAAACACCTTGGAATTGTATAACTAAAACACTTGTTGGGAGATAACACCTTTCTCGATGAGGTTGATACGTAGATTAGTACATTAGTCTTTAGAGTTAGCTTGTTAGTTCGTAGTATGTACTCTGTTTTAAGAGTTGTTGTTGCCTTGTTACTTATCTGTTGCATCATTTACATCAATGCATATCATATAGGTACGATGATGGATTGTGGAGTCATCTGGGGTATCGAAAAGATGGTGTCTCGATGATCATGTCACCAAGATAGAATGCTAACTTTTGGTTATATTTTACCTAAGCAAGCCCCGGTGCATAACCCCTATTTTTCTGCACTTTAAATTATATTTGTGCATTAAGTTTTAAGGAGTTGAATAAAACCCACTTGCATATATATATATATATATATCTTTATCCTACGAGTCTTACTAGTATGATAGGATCGTGTAGATTGCTATGCTACAGGACTCCGGTAGAAGTCGAGTGATTTCCTATCACTCGTGAGAGATAGGAAATATATTATTGTATTATTATCACTTGGAATATATAAAATGGTGGAAAGGAAAAATGAAGACCGGGCAAATATATGGTTTGGGTATTGGTGGGTGTAAGAGGTTGTGTCCTGCGGTCAACGGGGCATAGCTTGGTTACACTGTTTTTTCTGTCTGTGTCGGTTAAGGACCGGCCGTTGCATTGGACTCTAGGCAAGTCACAGACTTATTATCCCGAGCACATACTTGGGTATGGGCGTAGGAAAGACTTGTTACTCTCTTGTCATGGGTTTCGGCTCTTTCCGGACCGACTGTCAGGGTGGTTTTTGGGTGGAGGTCCTTGCACCGCACTGAGTCCGAGACTCAGGGGTGGGGGCTTGGAGTCCCAGTTTGGACGGGGACCTGGACCCCATGATAGGAGGGTAGTGGGTTGGTCCTGCTTGTGCCTGGGGTACAAGCAGGGCATGTGTTTTTGGGGTACCCATCTAGGCACATTGATTCGTGAATCGCCAGGAAATCTGGTACGGCTTGTCTAAACTCTAGCATCGTAGTAAAAACTGGAAGATGAAAGATGGTAAACTGAATCTGATTGCTTACCACC